CTAGATTTGAGAATGCTAGAATAGATGAGGGTACTTCTGCTTCATTTGATTTTCACGTTCCCACGTGAATTCTGGCCCACACTTGGCGTTCCACCGTACCTTCACAATCGGAATGCGACTTTGCTTGGTACACTTCACCTCCCTGTCCATGATCTTGAATGGTTCTTCGATGAACAAGAGAATCTCATTGATTTCAATTTCATCAAGGGGAATGATGAGAGTTTCATCGGATAAACACTTCTTTAGGTTGGAAACATGGAACACGGGGTGTACGCTGCTGAGCTCAGCGGGTAGCTGCAGTCTGTACGCTACTGGACCAATTCGGGCAAGAATCTCGAACGGTCCAATGTATCATGGATTCAGTTTTCCCTATTTTCCAAAACGAATAACCCCTTTCCAGGGAGAAACTTTTAATAGCACTCGATCCCCGACCTGAAACTCCAAGGGCTTTCGTCGTTTATCAGCGTAGCTCTTTTTTCGATCGCGTGATGCTTGTAGTCGAGCTCTCATTTGAACTATCTTTTCCGTGGTTTCACGTATTATCTCCGGTCTCGTTAATGTCTTGTCTGATGCTAGTTCCCTCGCTAGATAGGTGTCGCCCACCTCAGCCCAACACAACGGTGATCTACACTTACGTCCATATAATGCCTCGAAAGGAGTAACTTTGATGCTCGAATGGTAACTGTTGTTATATGAGAATTCAACTAAGGGTAAGTGGGTATCCCAGGACTTCCCAAAGTCTATCACACATGCGCGAAGCACGTCTTCAAGCATCTAAATGGTTCGTTCGCTCTGACCATCCGTTTGTGGGTGATAAGTAGTGCTCATGTCTAGATGGGTTCCTAGTGCTTTCTGAAGTGATTGCCAAAAACGTGAAGTAAATCTACTATCTCTATCTGAGATGATAGACACTGGCACTCCATGAAGTCTCATGATTTCTCGAATGTATATTCTTGTCAATCTCTCCATCTTGTAGGATTCTTTCATTGGCAGGAAATGAGCGGATTTCATCAGTCTGTCAACTATTACCCATATAGTGTCCAATCCATCTGACGTCTTAGGCAGCTTGGTCACAAAATCCATAGTAATCCTTTCCCATTTCCACTCGGAAATTATTGGTTGCTGTAATAACCTCGAGGGCTTATTGTATTCCACCTTTACTTTGGCGCAAGTAAGGCATTTGCTAACATAGGTGGCAATCTCTGCCTTCATGTTAGGCCACCAAATTACATTTTGTCCGAACCCGGATGGATGGAGTATTGCGTCTTGTGAGCTTCATTCATGACTACTTCCCTAAATCCTCCAAGTTTAGGGACCCAAATACGGTTCATGAAATAATATACTCTACCCTCTTTCACCTTGGGATTCTTCTCCATTCCGCGTAATGCTTCTCTTGTTTTTGTTTTCTGCCTTCATGTCATCTGACTGGGCTGCCCTGATCTGAGTGGTTAGGTGAGGTTGGATGGTTATTGAGAGAGTTTTCACATGACGATTAGAGTACTCTTTCCGACTCAAGGCATCAAGTACCACATTAACCTTACCTGGGTGGTACTTGATTTCACACTCGTAATCATTTAATAGTTTAACCCATCTTTGTTGCCTCATATTCAACTCTTTTTGATTCAAGATGTGTTGGAGACTCTTGTGGTCCGTGAAGATGGTGCACTTCGTACCATAAAGGTAGTGCCTCCAAATCTTTAGGGCGAAGACCAGTGCTCCCAATTCCATATCGCGGGTTGTATAATTCACTTCGTGTGTCTTTAGTTGCTGGGACACGTAAGCTATCACCTTTCCACACTACATGAGAACGCATCCTAAACCCTGATTTGACGTGTCACAGTAGACTACGAAATCTTCCGTTCCCTCCGGTAGTGATAATACTGGGGCACTTCAGAGTGCTTGCTTCAGAGTTTGGAATGCAGCTTCTTGTTTGTCCGTCCATTTGAATGGTACGCCCTTTTGTGTAAGCAAGGTGAGTGGCTTGGGATCTTAGAGAAGTTTCAAATGAACCTCGTGTAGTAACCTGCTAGACCTAAGCATTGGCGAATTTCTGTGGGTGTTGTCGGGACTGCCCATCCTTCGATGGCTTTGACCTTAGAAGGATCCACATGTATTCCTTCATGACTAACAACATGACCCAAAAAGTTCATGCTATGGAGCCAGAACTTACACTTGGAGAGTTTTGCGTATAGCTTCTCAGTTCGCAGGGTTTCCAGGATTTGTCAGAGATGTTGGCCATGATCTTCTTTGCTTTGAGAATAAACTACAATGTCATCAATGGAAAAAATAACAGAGTTGTCGAGGAATGGTCGGCAGATTCGATTCATTAGGTCCATGAATGCGGCAGGGGCATTCGTTAGCGCGAAGGGGGTTACGACAAATTCATAATGTCCGTAATGAGTTCGGAAAGCGGTTTTGGGAATATCCTCTTCCTGGACCTTGAGTTGATGGTACCCGGATCGTAGATCTATCTTAGAGAAATAACTAGCTCCTTGGAGCTGGTCAAATAGATCATTGATTCGTGGGAGTGGATATCGATTTTTGACAGTGAGCTTATTCAGTTCTCTGTAATCAATGCACATCCTAAAAGATCTGTCCTTCTTCTTGACAAAGTGGACTGGAGCTCCCCATGGCGAGAAGCTGGGTTGGATGAATCCCTTGTCCAGGAGTTCACTGAGTTGGCTGGACAATTCCTACATCTCAGCAGGAGCCAATCAGTAAGGCGATTTAGCGATGGGAGTAGCTCCTAGAACAAGATCAATTCGAAATTCAACTTGTCTTTCTGAGGGTACTCCAGGAAGATCTTCAGGAAATATGTCTGGGAATTCACATGCTATAGGAATGTCTTGAATGTTAACCTCTTCCTTGGTTTTATCCACTATGTGCGCTAGGAACGTCAAATCGTTCTTTCGCAGACGCTTTTGTGCCTGGACGCACGAGATGAGACGAAGGTTCATGTTGGGTTTGTCTCCGTAAATAACTAGGGTTTCATGATTTGGAAGGTGAAGGAAAACGACCTTCTCGCAACACATAATTTCTGCATGGTGGGGGCTTAACCAGTCCATGCCAATAATCACATCAAAACTCCTAATGGAAACAGGCATTAAATTTATACGAAAGACGTGTTGATTCAGGGCTAGGGTACATCCGATACAGATTTCCCCAGTGGATTCTGTTTTCCCATTGGCTATTTCCACCGTAAAGGTTTCATTGAGCTTATGGGGTTGTTGTTTAAACAAATGCTTAAACTTATTGCTCACAAAACTTCATTCTGCTACGGTATCAAACAGGATGCATGCATAAGTGTGGTTTAGGAGGAACATACCGGTAACGACAACGGGATCCTGAACCGCTTCTCCCTGACCCATGGCCAGCACCCTTCCTGTTCCTCCATTTCCGGGATTGTTGTTATTGGGGCAGTTTCGACGGAAATGCCAAGTCCTTCCACATCCATCGCAGGAGTGGCTAGGTCCTGCATTGTTACCGCCATTGTTGGTGTTGTTGTTGTTGTTGTCGTTATTGTTGTTGTTGTTTCCCTGTTGTTGGTTCTGAGGAGGGTAGGTCCTGCAGTACTTCGTCGTATGCCCCTTCCGATTGCAACTGGTGCACTGCATCTCTCTGCATTCTCCATTGTGATGGAGACCGCACTTGTTGCACTTAGGAAGATTACCGGAATAAGGCCTATGAGCACTTGGAGCAGCTGAGGCTGGAGCATGTGGTGTGGGTGAAACTTGAGTGGTAGGAGCATTAACTGCTACTGTTTGCTGCTTCTTGGATGATTCGGAGCCTTGATGCCCCTTCCTCTTGGTGTTCTTTTCCTTTTTTTTGTCATTTTCCTTCTTACCTTCAGCCTCCACTGGCTTCTCACCCTTCTTGTTGTTGTGGTCGTACAACTTCTTGGCTTATCTCTTGGTACTGTCGAAAGTTTCGGGATTTGCAGCTATCACATTTCCTTGGATCGGGGAGGTTAGTCCCCAAATGAATCGTTCGATCATCTTTCCATCTGAGGTGATCATGCCAAGGCATAACAGAGACAGTTCGCTAAACCTTGGTATGTATGCATCTATATCAGCGTTCCGGATAGTGAGATTCCACAGGTCTTGTTCCATTTTCTGAATTTCGCCACGAGGGCAGTACTCGGCCATCAACATTTCTTTCATCTCTGCCCATGGCATGGAATTGGCTATGGGGAGTGTCATGGCCTCCATTTGTCCGTTCCACCAAGTGAGCGCTTGGTCAACAAAAGTGCATGCGGCAAACTTCACCTTCATCTCCTCAGGGCAATCACATATCTCGAACACCGATTCCACCTTCTTGATCCATCGTTTCAAGGTGATCATTCCTCCAGTGCCGTTAAAGGTCCGTGGTTTGGCGTTGGTGAAGTCTTTGTAGGAACATGTTTTTGTAGGTCCTTGATTCATCCAGTTGTTTGAACTTCCAGCCCCTTGTCCATTGACTCCTTCATTGTTCCCTTAGTGAATTTGTGCCATCGTTATAGTGACCGCAACAGATACAGCTGCTTGGAATGCAGCTGAGTTAACTTCGGGTGGGGTTGGCCCAAGGTTTCTGCGGGTGGTTCGTTGAGGCATCTTTCTGTCATGGAACGGAAAGATGTTGAGTGTCTGTGGTTTTTTTTTGTGAGGTTGTGATCCTATAAACTAGGTGTGTGGCACAAACTTAAGTAATTTCACAATTTAGCATACAATCATAGATATGTAACACATAGCAGATTAAAACATCACAGTAAACATATAATATTTTTCATTACTATTATCCTCACTTTGATACATGAAAATTTTGCTCGAAAGAGGATACGTAAGCGGTACAAATTCGGCAGCATAACGGCTCTATAAGTAGTGTAATCACTTAAACATAGAGTCGGGATACATAGCATAGATCATAGTACTAGTACTAAAGACGAGTACGATCAGTCCCTCGTACGGTGAGACATATATAGCAGGTAGTAGAGCAGGTTATATTATTAAGGATGACGACGACGCTCAATTGTCGAGGTGACACACCAGAAGTTCAGCCAGTTCACCCACCTCTTGGGTGATTACCTCTACTTTTTGCTCGGCTCGCACAGCCCTTGCCTTGGTCATAATGAGTTGAAGCTTCAGGCTGATAACTGCCTCCTCAAGAGAGCGTAGATAGTTTGACGGGGCTTCTGCCTGGTGAGGTTCACTACAAGCCTCCTCTACGCCCTTTTCTTCGTTTGGCTCCTGGTCCAGCTCATCATAATCGAAATCAAATATCACGTATTCGTCCTGTTCCTCTTCAGGTCCAATGTCGTGTGCTCCCTCTTGATCTCCTTCAGGCTCATCTTTAATCATTCTGTGAGCCACTAAGACCTGATGAAACTGGATGCCGTACTGCTCCCTTTCCATAGCGACTGAGAGGAGGTATACGAATAACTATCATTACTCCTATGACTCTACAATTATTGTATAGATTGAGCTGATGTTCTCTTCTTGGTGATAAAGGGGTATGATTTTAGGTTCCCTAGCCATCACGATTTCCTCAGGAAATGTGATAGTTGTACCTTGGAGGGAATGTAGTTTATCAGGCTACATCCACTCCTTGATACGACTATGAACAGTCCTGGCTTAACCGAGATGCTAGCATTATCTTGTTTGGTTCGGTATTATGTTCTTTTTTTTCCTAATTCACACAAGTAAAGATGTTTTATCGTTATGTTTTACTTGTTTTGTTCAGAGTTGTGTTAGTCCCTCTTTTTGGTTTATAGTTGCATATCAATGTGTGATTAGATATGCTAGTTCACTATAAACAGAGCTCTGATACCAACCTGCCACACCCCCGAACCAGACGGCGGAAACGTCCAAGGGCTCTTGTGACATAAATTGAATACCATCACAATGAATATACATGAATCATAACATAATTCATCACCATGCATTGAAATCTTACACCTGATATTGTTTACATCCAGTACATTGTTTTAGGCATTACAATTTCATAACATAAACTGCCTGATAGATAATCTAAACAAGACACCATGACATTACTTGGTACTTATCCTTCGATTTACCTGTTACCTGAGAATACAAGTTATTTTCAAAAACGTCAACATATGAAATGTTGGTGAGTTCATAAGTAATGTCGTGGTAAAATGATTTGGTGTAGTTTGTAAAACCCAGAAAATCCGATATTTTCTGAAAAGATAATTGTTTATAAAAAGTGTGAGCATCCGTGAATATATGCTTGTTGATTTTCAAAACATGTATAATTGTTGAACCTTTGTATACATCACGCAAGTGAAAATGTTGAACTTCCCAGGAAAACCTGATGTTTTCCCAATACATAAAATACAATGACTTGTCTATTGTTATACCGATACGTCGAATGATTTAGATTACCCGGGTGGCATTGGATTAATTAGGGTTGTGAGTTGTTATAATCACGCATTAAAGAAAATGACTAGTTTATAACTACAGATTATGAACGATCCTTAAAGGCGTCGACCGTTACTACTCACTTAATCCACCCACCATGATTACTCTTGTTTATTGTCCTGAATCTGTTTACTTTGATTTCTCATAAGCCCAACAACCAAGGAGGTAGGAGAGTACGAAGTCCCTTTATTTCCAGGAGTTATTCAAGGCTATCGGGAATGCGAAAGACACTTGGCCCCACTCGCATTTGACTTCTCGACCTCACTAGCAGTACTAATGGGCAACTAGGGCCCAATCGCACATTAGAGCTTTTGAAAGTCCTTTTACATGGAATTGGGTCATAGAAGGCCTAATAACACGTAAGCATATTCTCTTTAGGCCTAAAGATCATGTTAATGGGCTAGAAAGGCCCAATAAGCATGATTTGAAACTTCCAAGCCCAAAGTTTGTAAGTTAGCTCATCATAGTTATCGCGTGTTTATTGAAATGCTTTGGTTTTACGATTTTGTTTTGTTATTGATTCGAGACCGAATCAATTCGTTTTGTAACGATATTTGTTGTTGAGAGTGTATTTGTTTTCCATTTCATCGGTAGTAGTGGATCTTGTATTTTGTAATAATGAATTAATTTGTTTGAAAGTGGAATTTGACCCTTTTCACTACCCTTCTTTTATAAAAACAACACTTTTTAGTCCTTTTTATATAAAAGAATTTCATTTTTAGTCCTTAAAACCCTTTTCTTGACACTTTTATATTATTTATTTGATGAAAACATGATTTTAACCTAAAATTTACTTTGTTTACAGCTTCATCCCCTCTAGAATACTGATTCTTGGTTAGGGACCCATTTTCACAACTTTTACAGTTTTGGCCCAAAATCTAAAATTTTTACATTTTTGGTCCTTTTTGTCAGTGAAAAGCATTTTTGACCCTTATAAAAATTTTGTTATGGTAATTGCCCCCTGTTTTACAGGAACTTACATTTCCAGCCCCTCAACTTATCATTTTCGCATTTTTGAGGCTTATTGGGCTGAGAAGCCCATAAATAGCCCATTAGGCTAAAAATTTACATTTTAAGTCCCTTGAAATTCCTAATGTTCAGAAAAATAATTATAGGAACTATTTTGACCCTTTTAACCTTCAAGAGACCGTGACTTGTTGATTTGTACCCCTAGTTTTGTATTTTTGACAATTTAAGCCCAAAAATGGGTTTTATGTTAGAACATGTTCATCATGACCTTGTAAACTATTTTTTTAACTTTTTTTTAGTGTAAGATAGCTTATATTATGCTTGTTTCCTTTCTCATGTCATAGATCTCGGGTTTACACCCCTTTTTGGTAACATATTCATCACAAAACACATGATATCACACACATACATGCATCAAATCACACATAGCATACATATACACATAGATCTTTACATTTTCTTGTATTCTCCCCCATAAAACTCATAAAAACCGAAAAGAAAGGGGTATGAAACTCACATTTGCTTGTTGTTTTCGATTTGAAGAAGAAAAGAGAAGAGTTTGTTGCTATTTTCGGACCTAGCAAATTTCTTGGATGGATCTCAAACTTAGAGGGTTCTAAGATGCAAGATCATGAATTTATATGAGTTAAGAAGAGATTCTTGATAGAACAAAGAGTCTAGAGTGTGGATCCAAGCATCAACTTACCTAAGATGATGATTTTTGTGAAGAATCCTCCTTATAAAGCCCTTGAATCTCGAAAGTATGGAGAGGAGTGAAGAGAATTTTCTTGAGAGGATTTTTGAGTAAAGTGTGTGTATGTATTTGGATTCGGCCGAGTGCAAGAGAGAGAGAGAGAGAGAGAGAGAGGGAGTAAGAGAGACTTTGATGAGATGGTTGCATGGGAATATGAGTTATAAGCATGGAAGTCCTATGGGTAAAAGTAAGGTGGCATCCAAGAGTCAACTCCTCTTCTTGGGTTGGACTTGGGCCAAGAATGGAGAGGGAAGAAAAGAATATTTGGGCCTTGAATGGTTAAGTCTATTTTATGGTTAAGTTGAGTGATTTTTGTCCCAAATAAATATAATTATGATTGTAATGACCTATTAGGGCTAAATTAGGGTAGTTATGGCCCAATAAGGTCCATTTAGGTATTTTATTTCATCATAGACCCAATATGGCCCAAAATGTTATAATAATTGAAAGTGGGTCCAATTAGAGCCCATATAAGAGTTCTATGCCCAAAATAGTCAAATTGGAAGCTTATTGGCCCATTAGGCCCAATAAGGAAATCCTAGTCCATAATGGACTTAAATCGGGATTTCTAGGGTTTCCAATTATTTCTTGACTATTTGTCGTGTTGGTATAGAGCGTTTGATTAAAATTCTTTTGTTATTGAATAAGCATCCTACATGTTTTCACATTGTTGGTTGACATTTTTTTATCACTGTTCAATGTTTACAAGGAATTGAATTTCCTAGTTGTGACACATAATCTATGTCAATCATGATACATACAAGGAGTGTTGGTGCAAGCACACAATCGTAAACTAAAATTGCTAGCTGTGACAGTAATCCCAAAGATCTCATGTGCGGAAAACATAGTGTGATGCGCTGTGATCACCAACTCCTTTCCTTTGAAATCGAAGTACCTGAAACTAAAACTGAAAACTGTAAGCACGAAGCTTAGTGCGTTCCACAAATACCACATATCATACATATCAACATACCACCTAGCATATATGGGTGTTGGCCTACCCATTCGGTCTCTTTCAACCGGCTACTGTCTAACATATAAGCACATAAATCACATACTGTCATACATAACCGTGAGCCATACATATATCATAATCAATAAAGATGCTATGTACCGAAAATAGACTTTCCATTATGCCACGGGCTACCACGTGGTCTTTCTTGCCAATGAAGGGGCCACCCCCTCGGTCTTACAGACAAGTGCCAAGAGTCACCTCATGGTCTTCCATGCAAGCATCACAAAGACAACTAGAATACATACTACTCTACTTAGCCAATTAGCATACAGTGTGCTACGAGCCACCTCCTGGTCTTTCATTCATAATGACTAGGGCTAACCGTCGGCTCTTCCTACCATACATAATATCATACAGTGTGCTAGGAGCTGCCTCCTGGTCTTTCATACATAATGCCTAAGGCTAACCCCCAGGGTCTTCCTACCATGCATCAACTAAATGGGTCGCATTGGTGCCTTCGACCCATACAAACAGTGAGGAGACTCACCTCACACTGCTGAAGTCCTGCGAATAAATCTCTGGTTGCTGGCTGACAGATCCCAAACTGTCAATCATAAAAAAAACACCCAATTCATAACCATAAATACACACTTGGGGTAAAAGGACCATTTTACCCCTAACCTAGTTTGGTCCAAGACCAAGGCCCAAACACACACTCTAAAGGCCGAAAATCCAAAAATGACCCAAGGCCCAACATATGGCCCAATTTTCCAAATTAGGCGCAAACATATGCATGTTATTATCTTAAGGCCCAACCATTTATTCCAGTCCAAACATTTGGCATTCTAATGGTCCAATATCTCATAATCATTAAGGCCTAATTATGGCCCATCTATGGTCCTCTTTTCCAAATTGGGCCCAAACCCCTCACATGAGCCTTACCCTAAAGCCCATCCAAATATTCCAGTACATATACTTGTTCTTGGATGGCCCATTAATAGCCCAATCACCAAATCCCAATAGAAAGGCCCAACTCAAGGCCCAAAAAAAATTAGGGTTTCTCACATGAAATGACGATTAGGGTTAACTATTCTTACTTAACCCATTAATTCCAATATTGCGTTAAGGTAATTATAGGGGCATTATTATGTACCATTTAGAAATTTAATTAACGACATCAATGCAGGTCCCGACAATCCAAAATTAACACTTCCAAAATTAGTGTTTTTTAAAGCGTAATTA